ATTTGTTAAAAAAAAAAAAAAAAAAACTGTAGTATGAGTTTTTATAACTGCTTATTGTTGTTGCTGTTGTCCATTGTTGTCATCTTTCTTTGTTGAAATCAGGTCTCTCTTGTAAATGAGTCCTCGAGGCTCAATGGGATTTATCTGTATAAATAAAGGTTGATTGATATAAATAAATTGGTATGGTATGGTAACATTGAGAGGGGCCATTGATATGTTCAGGTATCTGGTAAGGAATAGACCATTCGCACATCCTTAGGGAGGTGCTTCAGGCATGTCCAACTAGGAAGAGACCCCTGGTAGACCCAGGTAATGCTGGAGTGACTATGTCACTGTTTTTCTGGGAAGACCTTGGGGTCCTACCAGAAAGAGGTGGCTGTGGAAAGAGATGGCTGGACTTTTCTGCTCCACTTGCTGCTCTTACGACCCAACTCCAGAACAAGAGGAAGATCATGGATGGCTGGCTGGATGATGATGATTATTATTAATAACGTTTTAATTATCCATCCTTTCATCACACCTGCCTTCTTATCACACATGTAATGTTTTTCATGTGGATAGTTTAACCTACCTGTCTGCCTGTCTGTCTGTCTGTCTGTCTGTCTGTTTGACAGTCTGATCAGGATGAAGATCTGAAGACTCAGGTAAACTGGACTTCTTGTTGCTGTAAGGCACCATGTCTTCAAACTTTAAAGGACATCTACCATAATTTACATATATTTAAGTTGTGTCCAGGTCCTCAGGCCTCCATCCTCTTATTTGATCTGTTCTATTTTATCAACAAAACAAAATGCTTTCTGTTAATAATCAACTACAACTGCTATATAGCCTTCACTCTTGTGGTTTTTGTCCTGACTGTATTTATTGTAGTATGGTTTCCTTTTGATGAAGGCCTACATCAAAACCCATCAGTGTGTCAGAAAAGTGTTTTAACCTATGAATCTGCTTTGAAAAATGTTGGTGATTATAACTGACAACTAATGAAAAACCCAAATTCAGTATCTCAGAAAATTAAAATATTACTTAAGACCAATTTCTAAAAAGGATTTTTAGAAATGTTGGCCAACTGAAAAGTATGAACTTGAAAAGTATGAGCATGTACAGCACTTAATACTTAGTTGGGGCTCCTTTTGCCTGGATTATTGCAGCAATGCAGCGTGGCATGGAGTCTATCAGTCTGTAGCACTGCTCAGGTGTTATGAGAGCCCAGGTTGCTCTGATAGTGGCCTTGAGCTCTGTTGGGTCTGGCGTGTCACATCTTCCCCTTCACAATACCCCATAGATTCTCTATGGGGTTAATCTATGGGGTTAAGGTCAGGCAAGTTTGCTGGCCAATTAAGAACAGGGATACCATGGTCCTTAAACCAGGTACTGGTAGCTTTGGCACTGTGTACATGTGCCAAGTCCTATTGAAAATTGAAAACTGCATCTCCATAAAGTTGGTCAGTAGCAGGAAGCAAGAAGTGCTCTAAAACTTCCTGGCAGATGACTGAATTGGCCTTGGACCTCAGAAAACATATTGGACCAACTCTGCTAGTATATCATCCATCACTGCACAGTTGGTTTTATGTTTATGGTGTCAAACCAAACTTTACTTATTAAAAATGTTTCACTGACAACTATCACCCTGCCATCTTCAGGAAACTTTAGGGAGTCCCGAGGAGGTGCAGAACCCACAGAGTAGCATCAGCACTCTCAGACGCTTCTTCTTAGAGGGAGGACCAGCAGGAGCAGGAGAAGGAACGAGTGAGTGGGACAAACGTCTTGCCTCCTCACCTCTGCTTCGAGCGGATGACTCTCCGATGATCGAGCCTCTAGATCCAGAGGAGGTGAGTCAGGCCAACCTTAGTAACATGACTCAATGACTGTATACAGGTGTGTCCAGATGCATCTGCAGGTAGCTCAGTCTTATCACCTTGAGCCACTGCAGGTACAGAGGAGAAATAAAGTTTTAACCTTCTGTTGATTTTTTCATTTTTATCACACAAATGAACAGTCTCAGAAATTGCAAATGGCGGATCGGTGTTTTGAAAAATTTCTGAAAGATCCAGTGACTCCGCACCCTGACCAATCAGTGACCGACAGTGTTCTGACGTCACATTTTGGTACCTGCTCGGCCCGGCTGGTACCACAGAGAAAAAGGTTCTGAAAAAAGAAACCAGTTCTACATACCGTTACTAATGGAAAAGCCTTGAAAGCGCGTTGAGTCGAGTCGTGCTGTACCATTACTAATGGAAAACTAGTATGATTGTACAAAAACAATATGCCAAACAACAGCAGCACGAACATGAGTCTGTGTGAGTAGATGAGTATGAAGGAACACAGCTTCATTAATTATTCAGCAGTGCATATCACCCCGCCCTGACCCTAACCCCGCCCCCACCTAGGACTGTCAGACCACATCTCAATCTTCCTGGCTCCTGCTTACATGCCCCCGCTGAGACGCTCCAGAACGGTACAAAAGAAAGTTAAATGCTGGATCCAGGACAGTGGCCCCATACTGAGAGATTGTTTTGACCGAACAGACTGGCAGGTTTTCAGAGAAGCTGCTGAAAATGGAGGTTCGCTTGATCTTGACCAATACACATCCTCAGTTCTGGGTTACATTAGTACATGTACTGACACCGTCTCCACTATCAGAAATATTAAAAGCTACCCAAACAGAAAACCTTGGCTGAATGCAGAGGTGCACACCCTGCTGGAAGCCAGGAACACTGCCTTCAGGCCTGGAAACTCAGAGGAGCTGAGTAGGACAAGAAAAGAGCTGGTTGCTGGTATTAAGAGGGCCAAGGCCACATATGCAAAGAGGATCGAGGGTCAATTCATCTCACAAAACCCTCGGAGCATGTGGAGGGGCATTAAGTTCATAACAGATTATAAAGGAAGGAGCGAACAATGCCCCAAAGACCCATCTCTGCCTGATGCCCTCAACAAGTTCTATGCACGCTTTGAAGACCCGAACAGACCACCCAGCACCAGACTCACCTC